TGTTAGGTAGTCAGTACTCTAATTTGCGTATACTTCCATGATAAAATTTGTCAAATGAAATGAAATATTTTAGACTGTATTACCTGATACATGTTTTTGTTTTTTGTTTGTTTTTTTTTTAACTAGTGAAAAAGGCCATAGATTTTAAATCTAGAGGATTTAAATTGTTTCCAGGGAAAGACAACAGCAACAAGTTTTCTATCTGTGAGTGTACTCCTTTTTTGTTACTTTTTTCTAGTGCAAGAGTGAAGTTTGTGCTGTGTTGTTTGTGTGTTTTCAAAATTATTTATGTATTTCTAATAGAACTGGTTTCTCCAGTCTGCATGGTGAATTTTTAAATATGGTTCTACTCTAAAGGCAGTCTTTCTATAAATCTGGCATTGTAGAAGGACATGTTATTTTGTCAGTCATTTCAAACTAAATTTACAATATTTACAAGGAAACAAATATTCAGCCTACTAGGTGTCAGCTGTAAACTTAGCTCCTATGAACAGATCTGTTATTTTAATTGAACATTAGCATCAGAAGGCTGTGCAAACCAAAACCTATCCTCATTTACAAATGCACAACCACATATTTTTTCAAGAGACACATATGAGGTCACTCTTTGAATTTTTTTTTTTTTTTTTAAAAGTCATTAAGTTTGACATTTTTGACAGATTAACTAACCAAAATTTTAAAAATTCTGGAGATGCTTAGTACCTTCAATTTTAATTAGCAAAATTAAAAACTGAATCAGGTGACTTTCTAGCACAAATTAAATAGGTGTATCACTAAATACATTTAAAGGATACTGTTGTAAAAGAATGTGCCATTTTTATAGAGTTTCTTTTTGGAATAGAACCACATTTTAAATATTAGAAGTAAATAAAATGGACAATGTTAACCTATGTCTGATTATACTACATTTCATTATTCTTCACAGGAGTGAAAGAACTTGTTTATGAAGCACCTTAGGTTGGACATGTTTGCACTAATTTTTTGTTAAACACTGTCAGTGATGGATTCAGTTTCCAGAATTTAGCAGGACACATTAGCATAGGTTCTAATTTTTGGTGTTAAATTGTCAATGTATTAGATACGATTTCTTTTTTTATAGAAAGATGTCTTCAAGCAGCAAGACCCTTTAACATTTACCAAGTCAGAAAAACAAAGCAAAACACACTTCTACTCAGTTTTGTAATGTAACGTATTGCCATATTCAACTTCTCTGTAAACTGCATCACCTAAATAGTTCTGTAAAGCATTTCTGGTTTATTTAAAAAAAATTGTGTGGACATATTTTAAAAAAAATATTCTTTTTATGAGTACTGGGCGAATGGAAAGTAGAGTGATTTTACAATATGAAATAACAGTAAGATACTTACAGTAGTGTTTATAAAGTACATCACTGAGGTCTCTGTCTGGTGGCTCATCTGCGTTTTTATAGTTAAAAATTATAATAATACAATGGATGATAAAAGAGACTGTTTCTCTATGCATGTATTTTGCACTAATCCTTACATTTTCTTCTAAATAAACTTTAATAGAAATTCCATATTTATAATGAATTACGAGAAACTTTTGATATCCAAAGTTGATTATTATGAAATTAGTGATGAAATTTGTCAATATATTTTTGAAGGTCTTTATATAATTTCATAGTTATGATATTCTATGTAAAACTGAAAACTTCTTTATCTTTTTTAGTGATTATGCAGAATAGATTACTTATATGTGTCAATAATAAGTGAAGGTGAAAATCTTGGTAATTGATATCTTTAGTCATCATAACCTTGTCATAAATAGATACCTAAGATTTTATATCATAATCTAGCATTTAGTTAGCTAGTCACTTTGGTAGCTGAGGAATTGAAGAACAGTATTTCATAAGACAGTTATGTATTTGGCTGTTGACTAGACAATTTTTGCAGTGTGGTCTCAACTGAGTCTGTACTTGCATTACAATGACAGATAAGGTCCTTTAAAAAAAACAACGTACATCATTCAAATGTTAGTGGTAATAAGATAAGGATAAGTGACCTATTTTACATTATACCTTATATTAGCAATGTCTTTAGAAATTTTCATACAGCATTCTCATCTGTATGTCCTTTCATTATTTTACATCTTTTTTTTCAATGTTATATAACATTCAATACTAATGCATAGGTGATTTGCACAGAGGAAAGCCAGAATGGTGGTATTCGATATGATGATACACTTTGAAACAAGTATACATCAACCTAATTTTAGAAGTGTTGGCATTACCAAATGAATTAATTGGGGAACTAATCAACCAGGATTAGTACTCTGGAATGTCTTGCTCCCAGTTTCTTGACCATTGACACCAATGAGTACTTTCCCAAGATGCCTTTAATTTACTACAGGAAACCCTTTCTTTGCTTGCTGTCATATGAGCATCTGGGGTGTAAAACAGATATCTGTGGAATTACATGGAGCTGTAGACTGAAAAATCAAGCATTATGTCTGTAAAAGTAACATCAATACAAAAATCCTAAAATGTGCAGTTATTTTTTACTAAGTACTTAACAGAAATCAGATTGGTTTTAAAATTGTGTAAATGCATTTTAGAATTGGGATCAAATCAGAAATTTGTTTAATGACTTCTACCTATTCATTTTCTTCTGTATTTTTACTGTACTATATGTCTTCTTTTTAGAATTTAATTATTTTATTGATTTTCTTTAACATAAACCTTTATATTTTTATTTATGAATAATGACAAATCCATATCTTATAATTTAAAAATCTATTTTGTAGATTATTTCTAGGAATGAAAATTTTTACAGAAGATATAAAAAAGCAATAAGATTTTCAAACTTCCATTTTCTATAGAAGTTGAAGTGTATAATAGTGTATAATAGTGTATAATAATACCTTGAAATCCAGTAGAATATTCTTTTTTATATTAATATTTCCTCTAGCACCTGTGTATGGGGAAATATAATGTCCAAATATAAAATATTTATTTGAAATATGAAAACATGAATTATAATAAATAGAAATAAATCTGTTTAAATAATAGTTTTACTTTATTTTTTATAGTAAAGAATTTCTTCTGTGTGCATTGTTATATGATGCATGGCCAAATGGCAGCATTGTAATTTGTATAATATTATTATCAGGCATCATGAATAATTTCCTAACTATAGTTTTAATATATATTTAATGTCAGAAATGTCTTCTCTGTATATTCTGACTACTTATGATGATTCTGGATTTCTCATGCCTCATAATGAACCACCCAGATATTTCCAAAGATATTTAGTTAATTCTAAATGCTTATCCAACAAGATGGCCTTGTGAAATGCAGTTTTTTCAATTGTAGTTGTCCGATAGATAGATAGATAGATATAGATATATATATACTCCAATATTAGCATGAACTTGGGTTTCTGTAGCTAATATACTTTCATCACATGTACAAGTATTGGGGGAGGAGAAGACTGAAACCTGAAACCCCGAACCAGGAGGAAAAGTTGTCCTGTCCCCAAAGTCCCCTGAACATAGAGATGCAGATGAATAGAGATTGTCTTGGTTTGCTACTAGAGCAACCTTGAACAGCTTACAGGTATTTTGGGACAGAGGAGGGTGAATACTATGGATCCAGCTGATAAGGGCTGAGCTTGATAGGTTTTTTGAGCAGCGTGCTAATGTGAGATGTTTTCTTTTTAAGCCTCTACAACATTTGCATTTGGCCTTTGGCTTTCTCAGGGTTACTAAACCAATTTTTTCCTCTCTCTGTGTGTGTAAGAAAAATCTCAAGGAAGGGAAAACACCCAAGTATTCTGAATTATTTTCTTCTTCATTAAAAGCTGAAATTTAATGAACACCCTTTAGAAATATAGTTAGAATATATATTTTTCTATTCATGTGCATTCTATTTACAATGTAATGTGGTTGCCCTAATTATATGCAAACTATTTCCTTAAAGAAAAATAAAAATCTAATACTGCAAATCCATTGATCTAGTTCAGTAATAAAAATGAATAAATGTTAAGATCTTTCTGCCTAATATAAATCTCTTGGCTTCATGTAAATTTGTATTATTTTTTTTTTTAATATTCTTCTATAAGGCTATGAGTTTACCAAGTAATAGCAGACTAACTTCCTTTGCTAACTTTTTGGCTTTTTTGAACTCCGCTACTTCTGGGTTCAATGAACTTGAAAAATTAAGTGCAAAAGTTAGTAGAATTATTTTGACCTAAAATTATTTTTATAAGATATACTTTTTAAGCTGTAAAAATTACAAGAAAGTATATAATTCAAAGAAAAAAAAGTAAGTGAAGAGGTAGTTGAATATGTTGAGGGATATGCTGAGGGTTAGGTTGCTACATACGAATTTTCAGAAAAACACACAGAATGGTTCACAGGAAGTTTATATCTGAAAATCCGTTTTAGTTTATTGTAAGATAAATGTATGCAAATCAAACTGGCCTTTTGAGTTTACCTTCAGATCACCATATTTTGGGAATATATACATTTTCATTCCTGATTAAGGACAATTCTCTCAACAGGAGCTTATACATTCAAGTTTTATTAAAATTCAAGGAGAAAAGGTCAGCTCTTAGTGGAGATGACATTTATTAGTGTATATTCAGAATAAAATCTTAGATCCCTAAACCTGATGAACACTCCTTTAAATGTTAATGTTTCGAATGAAATAACAACATGTTTCTATATGGATTCAATAATATTACAAACAAAAAAATAGCTAATTATTACATCTTATTAAAAAGTGTGGGTTTTTCGGAAAAAAAATCAGAAAATACATGCTTTGCTTCTTATAGGGAGGAGAAACTTATGTATTGAAACTAGAGTTTATATTGGTGATCATATTCTGTAGAAAATCTGTTTTAAAAGACCTAGAATGGAAAGAATATACTTTTTCATGTTTGTCAATTTTAATTGCTTAACTCTGTATTTTGTAAAAACTATATTATTTTATCTCTTTTTTTGTTTATTTTATTTTGTTTTTGTTTTTGTTTTTTTTTCAGTAAATGAGGGAGGTATTAAACAGGCGTCCAATTTGTGTCCAGATCCTGGAGAACCAGAAAATGGAAAACGGATAGGCTCAGATTTTAGGTAAAATATAAATCCTACCATTGTATCATTTCTCTAATACTGAACTTGGAAAATGTATCTGCTAAAAATGTATTACTGTTGTTGAGTACTCTTTCAAAACTGACCTTCTCAGTAAAAAGTAATCTGAAGTTCTGTATAAAGTTATGTCATGCAATATAGCCTCTACTTAGTATGCAAAGAAATATAATTCCTACTTTTAAGAGAGCATATATCTCTGATAATCTGGCAAAAATTGGATTGAAGGTAAGTTGAAGTAATTTTCTCTGTAAATACTGTATTAGATTTACAAATATTGAGCATACATGTGGTACTGGAGGTTTTTGTGAAGGACAAAGCAAAACTGAATGCAATACAAATAGAAAAATAAAACCTCAGCAAAGAAATTTCAGATATTATAGAACTATTCTTTGGACTATAATAGAGAATACTGCATTTTCTACAGTATGTTTTTGAGGAACCCAGAGCTTTGATACATGTAGATGCATTTCTAGTAGTGGCTTAGCATCTTTAATGCAGACTATATTTTTCATTAATTTTTAAATATTCTTCTCTATTCTCAGCTATCTTTCAAATTCCTTATCTTGTAAGGAAAAAAGGTTTTTCATACTCTTTCAAAACATTCTACTGTCTTTTTCTCAGTGAACACATATGACTCCTAATTTCAGTATCAGCAGTGGTTGAGTAGAGAGACACATACATAATCACTTTTTGAAAATGTTTTGAATTTCAATCTCTTTTCTGAGTTTCTCACTTGCTATCCTTTCAATTGTTGAACATTTTTTTTAAAAGCGGTAACATTCATATTATTTTATATTTTATATATAGACAATTTAGACTGTATAAAAAGAATAAATCTATGTTCTAGTTTCACATCATATGCTAATTTCACATTATCATTATGTTTACAAATCTCTTTGAAACACCTAATTGAGGAAAAATAAAAGGAAAAAAATATTAAAAGGAAGATTGATAACTTTTAAATTAATTGTTTTTATTACATTTAGGTTTGTTATTACATATTTTGTATTTTACATATCACATAGAACACTTCTAAGCATTTGAAGATAATAACTGTTAGAGTAATCTGGGGAGATGTACAAAGATATAAGAAACTAGGATACTTCATTCTTTTATGCAATTTCTTGTACCTTCTTCTGTGTGTTTTTTGTTTTTTCTCCTCGTAATCAAGCAAAACATTAAATTGAAAATGACATCCAAGTAAATGTGCTAGCTAGCAGTCAATCATTATAATTTCAGTTATTATAGTCTTCCTATTTCTCTAGTTTTGAGAAAAGAAAAAGTTTAATGTGCATCAGAGAAAGCTTTATAACTGATTTTATAAAAATGTCATTTCTGATGTCAGCTGGCAAACAAATTGTCAATATTTTCAGAGAAATAAAAATAAATTCACTGTGTTTAACTACCATGCTCTCTAGAATCATTACATAGGTCGGTGTTTTATATTTTAACTTCAAAAATACTCCTTGAGAATGAAAGCCTTTGATGGAGAAGATTCCCATCCTTTTCTAGTGTTATCTCTGCATGTGGTCACTGAAAGACCTACTTGCCAAGATTATTCTATGTGAGGGGCAGTACCTTGAAGAAGATATGATGATTATTGTCCCGCTCTGCTCTGCATTGTGGCCTCATCTTGAGTAACTGTGTGGAGTTTTGGGCACCTCAGTATATAAAAGGAGGACCCCTGGTGATCTAGTGGTCAGGATGCGGCGCTCTCACCGCCGCGGCCAGGGTTCGATTCCCAGTCAGGGAACTCCTCCGGGCAGATGGACCTTGTCAGCCCTGTAAGGCCATCCATCTAAGAGAACGTCACTCTAAACAAACCTACGTCCTGAGGATATCACTGCCACTGTCCGAGCTCGCTCGGCCCCGGCAGATGAACCTTAGGATTAAAGGGTGGGCTCAGTTTAGCACACGCTGTGTCTCACCTAAAAAATCCACTGCGCAGGCTCGAAGGGTAAAGACCTTTCCCAAATCTTTGTTCACGAAGACTGGCCATGAGTATATAAAAGGCATTAGGCTATCAGAGAGCATCCAAAGGAGGGCCACAAGGATGGGGAAGGGCCTTCAGGGGAAGCCATATGAGGAGTGGCTGAGGTCACTTGGTCTGTTCAGCCTGGAGAAGAGGAGACTGAGGGGAGACCTCATTGGAGTTGCAACTTCCTCATGAGGGGAAGAGGAGGGGCAGGCACTGATCTCTTCTCTGTAGTGACCAGTGACAGGACCAGAAGGAATGGCCTAAGTTTTTTGTCAGGGGAGGCTTAGGTTGGATATCAGAAAAAGATTTTTCACTCAGAGGGTGGCTCTGCACTGGAAGAGGCTCCCAGAGAAGTGGTCACAGCACCAAACCTGCCAGATTCAGGAAGATGTATTCTGAGTGTAGCTCTCAGAAACAACCCAAAAAAGACTAGTTTCCTTTGAAAAGATTTTTATCCACTATTTTGTGGTAGCCTCTCTTTATAACAAAAAAACATTGTATTTGGAAATAGTGAGAAGAAATATACATATACATGCACAATTTCTACCCACTTTGTTGACAGGCTTTGAAAAAGGTAGCAATTACTCTTTGGGTTGTATTCCTCTTAATATGTTAGGGATAAATAAAGTGGTTTTCTATCTAAGGCTTGTTAAGTATCTTATGAATGTGAATGTTGAGATTCGTACTTGTAAAGAACAGTATTGGTGCATGTTAATAAAATATGCACATTTATTTCATGTTGAACACTTCATGCATTGGAAAAAGATCTTACGGGGAACAAGAGCAGACTAAAAATTTTCAGCACTCATTAAAATTCCTTTTTAAGTTAACATGGTTTCAATTCTTGCCACTATCATAATGGTTGCTCAATAGCTTCATAAGCTTCCAAAGTAAGAATGTTACGAATTCTTTAAAATAAATAAATAATACATTTACATTTGTTTAAAAACATCCAGTACTATAGAAAATCTTTTCCACGTTGTCTTGTATCTGACAGAGGGAAAAATAGCATGCTTTCACCTTTCCCTTCTTGAAGTCCCTCTCTCTGTAATGAAGGAAATAGTTTTACTTTAACTCATCTTTCTTCTTTTCCCTTCTGAAAGAGAAAATTCCAATTACAATACCTTCATTTTAAAACACAGTATTTTGAAGAAGGGTTTAGTTCTATCTTTATTAAGATCAATCAAAATCTAATTTTGGTACAATTTAATCTATTTTAGAGAAGATCATGTTCTTTTCACTTCTCTTTAGCTTTCTTCAAAGTGAAGGTGCAAGTTTGGAAGCATTTTATTGCAATTTCACTCCTGTTCTGATTATAAACACTACCTACTCTCAGCACATTCATTTGTTCTTACATGGTTCTTATACAGACTTAGAAAATCTGCAATGCAAGCTCTAAGACAAATATCAGCATTTCATGACATTCTCTGGGACCTGGAGCTACCTTTTGGATATTTTTTTCTAATATGAAAATTCAAATGAAAATATCTAATGTGAAAATTCCCCATTGCTACATTTTGAAGTTGTAAAGACTTTGTTTCTGATGCTAGATACCCATTTGAGCATAACAGATTTTACAGGTTGGAATAAAGTCAAAAAGACGTACTCATTTCCTGTAAAAGAAAAACATTTTACCTCAGAAAGAAAACTTCCCTTTCCTGTAAGTTTGTTAAAATTTTAGATGTACTACTAAGTATTATGCTAGAGTTTCCTAATTTACTTTACCTGTCATACAGTAAAATACACATCTTTTTCACACATGTCCAATTTTAGAACCAATGCCGCTATGGAAAATATAAGAAAGACATAATAGATAAAGAGAAAAAGTTTTCATGTGATATTGTTGCTTTTTTTAGTTTTTGAGTTTTGAAGGGTTTTTTTCTTTGCCTCATAATAAAACACCTGTGCAAACATAATTCAATCTGGATATGTTTATTCCACTAGAAGCAAACATGTTCCTCCACTGCCATCCCAAAGTTCTGTCTTTGTGAAATGAATGAATTAGCCCATCTCTATTCCTCTACCTCTGTAGTGTGATACAACTGGTATTTAAAGTTGAGATTCCGATCAAACTTGGATCACGACAAAACAGTAAATGCTCTTGGACAGCCACAAATATGCTAGTGTAGTCTTTAAAATACATAGAATCATAGAATCATAGAATCATAGAATAGATTGGGTTGGAAAAGACCTCCAAGATCATCAAGTCCAACCCCTGATCCAACTCCAATTACTATATCATGGCACTAAGGACCACATCCAATCTCTTTTTAAAAACCTCCAGGGATGGTGAATCCACCACCTCTCTGGGTAGGCCGTTCCAATGCCTGATAACCCTCTCTGTAAAGAATTTCTTCCTAACATCTAACCTAAACCTCCCCTGGCAGAGCTTGAGCCCGTGTCCCCTTGTCCCATTGTTGGTTGCCTGGGAGAAGAGACCAACTCCCACCTGGCTATAACCTCCCTTCAGGTAGTTGAAGAGAGTGATGAGGTCACCTCTAAGCCTTCTCTTCTCCAGACTAAACAACCCCAACTCCCTCAGCCTCTCCTCATAGGACTTGTGCTCAAGTCCCTTCACCAACCTTGTTGCTCTTCTCTGGACCTGCTCCAGCACCTCAATATCCTTCCTGAACTGAGGGGCCCAGAGCTGAACACAATACTCAAGGTGTGGCCTCACCAATGCAGAGTACAGGGGAAGGATCACTTCCCTGGTCCTGCTGGCCACACTGTTCTTGATGCAGGCCAGGATGCCATTGGCCTTCTTGACCACCTGGGCACACTGGCACCCCCAGGCTGGCTGCTCTCCAGCCACTCTGTGCCCAGCCTGTAGAGCTGCAGGGGGTTGTTGTGGTCATATTCTATTGAGAGAAGGAAGAATATGAAGTTTATATTAAAGACAATTTATTTTGTCGATAGCTTGACTTACAGTATAAATAATGATAATATCTTCTTTCATTTTATATTATAAATTAATTTGTAGTTATTCTTTGGAAGAATGACCTTGAAGTGAAATATTGATTGCCTAGATTGACTAGAAGTTTCACACTTAATTTTCCTTAAATATTCTCTGAATCACACACTCTTCTCTGTAGATATGCAAGGTGAGCTTCTAGACTCTGCAACTTCAAGCCAAACATACTGAAAATTTAACAATACTCTATTTACAGCATGAGATGTGCTGACATACTGATTGTTTCTTTATGCTAGCATTGAAATGTATCATAATATTAAATTAGTTATTTGATAGAGATGGACTTTGAGAGATAATGTTTAGTTATTTCTGGTTGTACTTTTTTTTTTTTAATGGCTAAAAATGATGTCTCTCAAATTTGTTCAGTTCCAGGTATGAGCAGTATAGGTAAATACAGCAGAAACATGTGAATCTTGGAGAATGTTTTTCTATACTTGAATTTATATGTGACTTTTCAGTTGATTCCACTGAAAAAATATTGGACTTCTATGTACAAATTCAGATGTATTCCCTGCATATGAGTGCAAAAATCCAAACTGCATCATCTTGTTTTTCTAGTCTGTCTCACCTACTCATCACAAAATTTACACAAGAAATGTAAGTTCAAAGTGCAGAATAATACAATTTATCACTATAGCTGAGTTTGAGGTTTTTATTCCTTGAATAATTGATTCTTGTTCAATAATAATTTAAAGAATATATCAAATAATGGAGGAAAAGAACCTAAAATGAGGTAGTTTGTTACATGAATGCCAACTGTTAAAAGAATACTATTCAGTATAAACTTCATATGAAGTTCAAAATTTTAGGCTTACTCTTTCTCATCATTCAGAGATTCTATAGTTTCATTTTAGACTCCTTCTTACTGCTTTCAGTTTGTGTTGTTTAAAGAGGGGTTGAGGCAGATGATGGAGACTTTAAAAGAGATACGAGATTAAAGTTTTTACAACTTTATATAACTTCGTTATTAATATTTACTCATACTTTTTTTTCTAACAAAAATATATCCAAAATTTGGAGGTTTTCATGAAATTCAAACCTAATGGCAATCCTCTTTTGTCCTATTAGAAAGAGAAATTTGCAGATAAAGTTACTGAGAGTCAAGCATTCAATTGTGGAGCTCTGAAATGCTTTAGCTCATTATATCATATATGCATAAGCTTTGAATGAATTCAAAATAAATTGAACAATTTAAGTGAGTCACAAAAAAATGATTAGAAGGGTCCTTCACAGGGCATCCACTCCATCCTCCTACCCAAAGCAGGACTAATCAGATCATCTGTGGCTTTGTTTAGCCAACCCTGAAAACTCCTAAGACTGAAGAGTACACAGGAGTCTGAATATGCTGTTGTAGCTCTGCCCCGCTTTACTGAAAGAAGTTCCTTCCAAAGTAAAATCTGAATCTTCTAAACTGTACCTCTTATATTATTTGCCACATTTAGAAAAGTTTGGCTTTGTAATGGTTCTGGAAGTGGTTAAGGTCTGCTATTAGATAGTACCTTAGCTTTCCCTTTGTTAGACTAATTAAGGCTAAGTGCCTCAGTTTTTTACTGTAGGTCACGTGCTCTAAGTCTCTGACTAACCTCCAAATGCTAGAGTTCTTAGCAATCTCTGTCTTGAAGTGGGAGGCCAAACATTGGGTTTAATATTCCAGACACAGCCTCACCAGCTGAGTAATAATTTCACTTGATCTGCTGCCAGCACTTGATCTGCTGCCACAACTTCTAATGTAGTTAAGTATATAGTTTATTTTATTCAGGATGAGAACACATTACTGATCAATATTGCAAAACTTTGTACCTCTACTTGTTGAGTTTCATGAGATTTCTGTTGGTCCAGTGCTGAACTTTGTCAGGTGTCTGGATTGAAGCTCTGCTATTCAGTGTGTCAGCTATTTTTCTGCTTTTGTATGATCCATAAATCCATGGATCCATAAATTCTGTCTCACTGTCAAAGTTGAGGACGTAAATATTAAACAGCATAAGACTCCGTATTGATTTCCTAATGCTCAGCTTATTACTGGCCACCAGCTGAATATGAAGGCATTGATTCCTACCCTTTGATCACAGCTGCCAGGCCAATTTTGAATATATATTTATTCAGTGTATATTTTGTCATCTCTCATAAGACACTAGTGTAAGAGGTGCTGTCAAAAGCCTTGCTGATGTTGAGCGCTGTTACACAGAGCACTAATAGCTCTACCAGTGGTCCGTGTAGCCTGTCATTTTGGCGTAGAAGACAAGCAAGTTCATCTTTTGGTAAATCTGTGTAAGTGTTCTTAATTTCCTGTTCGTGCTTTCCTAGAGTATGTGTTCTTTCTAAAGACTGATGTAAGGTTCCTAGCTTCTCCTTGCCTTTCTTAAAAGTTCATATAGTGATAACCTTTCCATAATCACTAGGAACTTCTCATCACCATAATTTTTCATAGATGATACCAACCTTGCACAGACTCAGTCAGATTTTTCAGCACTCTTTGGTGAAAGTTCTCTGGCTCCCTGCCTTTGAGTACAGACATCTTCTTTTACCTGTTGCTCCTCAGTATTGGCTGTCCCTCTTCTTCAGAAATCATGTTGGTACATAGAGATGCCTGGGAGCACATGTGCTGTAGAAATTGATGCAGAAGAGACATTTAGTATTTCTGGCTTTTCCATATTGGATTTCAGCACCACAAAGTTGCCTCATCCATTTATTAATGAACCCACATTGTATATGAACTTTCTTTTGTGACTGATATACCCACAGAAGCTCTTTTCCATACTAATGTGCCTTGTCAGTCTTAGCTCTAGCAAGGGGCTCGTCCAAAGAGTCTAATTTAGTCACCCAGGGATTACTAAATTAGTAGCTCTGGTTCAGAAAGTTCATTAATCATAAATGATTGAAATATGGTAATGATGAGAAGATGAACTATAAATGTTTGCTGTATTCTAAAGATTTTCTCTAAGCATTCACTTTTCATCACTTTTAGTGTTAGCATACTGGACTAAGTGAACCCAGTCTGGACTTTGGCTGCATCCACAGACAATTGTTTTTTTGCTGAATATCTTCTGCTTTTGAAATTTGTGAGAGATTTTTCATGCTGTTCTTTAGATTTTTTTTTTTTTGGTTTATGTATGTCTATATAAAATATAAAAATTAACAACTTCATAGCTATATTGTGCTTCAGTTCTCTTGAGATTTACACAGCAGATACAGTCACACATTTAGGAGGGTTCATCTGGTAAAGAGTTTGGGTCAAATGTAAGTCAGAAAATCAAACTGCCCTTATTTTTCCACACTATTTGTGGTCACTTGTTCCCACACTGTTTTTGAAATAGTCTACCAGTTTTCTCTAAAATAATACCGCCCCACAGTTCAGAGGCAGACTACTCAAAGCTTCCATGATCTGATTTTCTCACTCTCAAGTTTTTAGTTCTCTAAAATATAAGCAGGCTGTGATCAGGACTCTCACATGTCCTCCTGCAATACCTCTGGATATGCAATAGATATCATCAATTTTATCCTATCAAGAACCCCTCTTTGTCTTATAAAACCATCCTCAAATTACCTGGTATTCTGTCAAAGAAAAAGAAAATGAAAAACACTCCAAACTTTAATGAAGTTGCTACCTCATCAAACCCATGGCCAAGTGCTCTAGGGAAAACTAATTTGCATGTCCTTTTTGAATCTTCATCATGTTCACCTTAGGTATCTCATGCACCCTCCTAGGGAGGGAGGTGACACTATCCTCTTGTACTCAAATTATGAAACTTTTTTAAGAGAAAGATGGATTTTGAACTGAATTCTTTTATGTCACAGATTAAAGTCAGTGGAGAAAAAAAATATTGTCATCAGAAAAAAGAAGAATCTCTCCTACTAGACAATTTTGAAAGAATTACTGTTTTTCCATTTTTAAAAAAAGTGCATAGATAGATAATGACAGCAAAATATTAAAAAATGGTAATCTAGACTAGGCTTTTAAGTTACTTAACAGACACAGATTTTAATATTTCCTTAACAAGCTCTCTTATTATTGTCTTTTTTAGTTGATCTACCATGGAAATCGATCTCTGGCTCTTCTATTTTCTTTCTTAGACTGGTGTTTTATCATCTCCTTATCTAACTGCCCTTATTAGGTCTCAGACACATGGCACATATGTCACCGATTTTGTAAATTACCCAATCGCACTGTGTTTATGAGTCAAGTATACTTACATCATATACTACAAAATTTCAGTTTAATATCAAAACTGATTTGGACAAGTAAAGTGGACTTCATATTGTAAGCGTTATTTATACTTTTGGAGGTGATAAAAATAATTATCATACTTCTACGGTCTTTATAATCATTCAGACCTCTGGAATTTTTGCCAGTTACAGTTTGGTTGCTGTGAGTTCAATGTAATTCATAAATGGTGTACTTTCTGCTCAGTATTTCCTCTTTAAATCAGTCTGTGGTTAGTTAAAGAAAATATATTTCTTTTTTCTTAAGTTTTTCACTTTTATATCTTCCTCTGTTTTTTGTGGACTCTGCAGTTCTTCTTTATCCCATTCTTTCACTTGACCTCCAAATGACTGTTAAAAAGAGGTAAACCAGCTCATGCCAAAGTGAGCCCAGAAAGGGCTGAATGCTGTGCACCGTCAGGCTGATGCATAACCTTCAGCCTTTTACTACTGAGAGCAGAAATTACTGGATTATGTGTTTGTATTGTTTGTCAGGGTTGTCATATCTAAAAGAATGGAAAAAATTGACTGGTATCCATTTGTAAAAAAATGCTTCTTTTTATGTCATTATTTGATTTTAGCTTGGGAGCAACAGTGCAGTTCTCCTGTGATGAAGATTATGTGCTTCAAGGTTCCAAAAGTATCACCTGTCAGAGGATAGCTGAAGTTTTTGCTGCATGGAGTGATCATAGACCCGTGTGTAAAGGTAAAGAGGAATTCTTACCCTTACGGTGATTTTTCTATTTCACATCTGTCTATTGTTTGAAAGCCAATCCTATTAAATTAGTATTTTGTAAGTACCTGAAGTTTTAATCCCAATGTCCCCACTGTCTTAGTAAAGAAGGACACACCTATACTGTTTTGTCTGTGGATAGCTCACTGGAGATGGTTGTCAGACACAGCTAATTAACCAAGGATCCTGTCTCCCACCTTAGGTGTCTAAAGCTGTGCCATAGGAGTACCCCAGAGTTTCTCCACTGTGGAAATTAGGTCTCAAGAAAAGTGTGGACCAGTGAAAATGGGACAGAAGAAATTTTTAAAATATCAAAATTCTCTAAAATATAACAGTATAAACAAGTGTAAAAGAACTGGGTTGTTTTGATCTGAAGAATAAAGAATCCAGTGAAAGAAGAGGGAAAGTATAAGATATAATGGGCTACAATTGTGCAAAAGCAGGTTTACAGTTGGACACTAGCAAAACTTTCTGAACTAAAGAAATTTAGGTACGTGAGCAGCAGTATTCCGTAGCATATGAGATACGCGTATATCCAGGAGAGTTTAAACACACACAGACTCATATTGAGCTGTGGTAATGTACTAAATACCTCTTCAAAGTTCTTCCAATCCCTATTCTCTGTGTTTTATAAGAGAAAGAACACTTAAATTTCAAAACTGATTCACTTAAAAAAAAAAAATCATGAAGATCATATGTAGGTATGGCTGCATGATAGGATTTATATACTTACTGTATGATAACCATGAAAAAATGACAATCCAAAGATACGTGGCTTTTATATCCCACAGTAACAGTAATATAAATGGTAATTGTATCACAAATAGAATCACAGAATCGTTGAGACTGGAAAAGATCTTTAAGATAAACAAGTCCAACCGTCAACCCAAAACTAGCATTGTAACCCCTAAAACACTGAACCATATCACCCAGTGCCAGATCCAGATGCCTCTTAGACACCTCCTGGGATGGTGTCTCCAACACGTCCCTGGGCAACCTATTCCAATGCCAGTCCACCCTAGTAGTGAAAAATTTTTTTCTGATATCTGATCTGCAACTCCCCTGTCTCAGCTTAAGGCCATTTCTTCTGATCCTCTCACTGCAGGCAGAGCAGACGACACCAGTCCCCACTTCACTACAACCTCCTTTCAGGTAGTCGTAGGGACCAATGAGGTCTGCCCTGAGCCTCCTCTTCTGGAGACTACACAAACCCAGCTCCCTCAGCATCTTCTCATAAGACATGTTTTCTAGACCCTTCATGAACCTTGTTGCCCTTCCCTGGACATGGTCCAGCACCTCAGTGTCCTTTATAAAGTGAGGGGCGCAGAACTGAACACAGCACTTGAGGTGCAGCCTCACCAATGCCGAGTACAGGGGTTTGATCACCTCCCTAGTCCTGTTGGCTAAACTATTCTTGATACAGGCCAAGATGTCATTGGCCTTCTTGACTACCTGGGTACACTACTGGCTCATATTGACCCGGCTGTCAAACAACGCCCCCAAGTCTTGCTATCCTCTGCATATTATGCATTTGAGAATACAATTTAACAATCTGTCATTTAAAAGACATTTTAAAAGGAAAGCATACTGTAATTAGCAGTTAATTTATCAATAGCACACACACTGTCTGTTTTTTAAAGTATCTCTCCTAACAGACAATAAAGTGTTATCAGCAGTACTGTGTCAAGACTGAGATGTATGCACAGCTACTTGTAAGTTTTGAAAGGTAGCTTTTGGGGAATATGGCCTTCAAGATAAAGTGGTTATTAAATACATTGCTTTTCACTTCTGCGTAAGTTTTGAACTCTAAATAGCAGCAGGTATTAAAGTACTTAAATATAAAAGAGTAACCACATTCTTCAGTTCATTTTTTCTACTTTTCCTTATGATTAAGAACTAATCATTTTATAAATCATAACTTATAATTTATAATCATAATTTATAAATCATGTTAGTAAATGTGTCTAATTATAAAGTAAGCATTAATTATTGATAGGTGGTGGAAACATGTTATTCAAACCCAAAACCGCAGCGTTTCACTTCTTTACACTCACTAACTTCGTAGAACTAATTTCACCTTAGAAAGCAGACGACCAATATTAAAAAAGTTATTAGGAATTGATACAATGCCACATGTTGAAGCCAGACAGATGGTATAGATATTCTATAGTTTAGCAAATGTGAACTGCTTTAGAGTATCATTACTTGCATTAAAAATACTGATTTAAGTACCTTAGGTGTGCTATAATTTTGGTTGTTTTCATTAACAAGGTGTTTTAATTACACTCTTAGATATACTAAAGCTGGAATATAAACATTTCTTCCTGACTAGTAATGATGTCTTCTTTACACTTCATGCACAGAACACATGATAAACATTTTGAAAGAATTTTGTATAAGTAGCATAAATATCATATAGTAACATGAAGGGTCTGAAAAAATATGTTTTCATCTTTTAGTTGAACTTGCATGTCTGCGTACAAACCATTTGGGAAAACAAATTAGGCAATCATGCACAAATGTTATTTTATGCAAGAAATTATTGTTTTCTTGTAAATTGATGCAACTTTGCAGAGAACGAGGACACAGGTGGTACATTAGATACTTCTCTCTTTAGATACAACATCTTTAGAATAACATCTATCTGTTATTCTCTAAAATGTCACTTGAAGTCCTGTTTTTTGTCATGTGCTTTTTCTTATTTGAACAGTACAGCTTGCAATTGTTTTCATTCACTTATATAAATTATATTGAGGACGCACCAAAAATCCTATAGTAATGATACATTTTTCAAAAGTGGCTTGTGAATATCCATAATTAGTTGCATTGAGATACTACAATTGGCTAGGAACAGGAGCTTTTTAATTCTGTTAGATCCATTTGATTTGACATCATAAATCCTCAGGACTTGTCCTCATACAGCATATGAGTGACTGAATATAACAGCCCGCTAAAAATGAAAGATTAACTCTCTTTAGGAGTTATCATGCAATACCAGCTGGAACTGGCATAAGATCATATTCATGAAAGTGAACCTGGTATAAGTTTGAAGCATTTCTACAGGAAAAATATAGTAGGACTTTGAGAAGGAAAAGTGGTACATCACTTCCAAAACACAAGCAAACCTTGTAGATGATCAACATCTTTTAGACCTTCTTCTCTCGAGTTTTGGTTGATAAAGAAATATGGCAAAAAATCAAGGTATTTGCCCTATTTTGATTTACAGACAAGTGATATTGAAATGAAGTTAAAATTTAGGGCTATGAGGAAATAACTTTGCTGTTGGCAAACAAATAGATTAACATAAGCAGCAGCTGAAAATTAACTCTTCAATTGCTCCATTTTATTGGAATTTTAAATTTGATTCATCTTCTCAGAAATTTGTGGTTTCTTTAGCTTGACATTTTCAAGATCAATGCATCATATAAGCCTAAAATTCTGATGAGGATACTTAATTTTGTCCCAATTTAATTGGCCTCATATAAATCTTGTAACATACCACTGTTAGAGGACAGCAGAACAGACAATGTCTTCCCATCCTTCCTGAAAAAGAAAAAAAAAATGTTAAAGGGAATGACATAAGAATCTTTGCCCAGGCATTCATTACATATTGAGTTATGATTGAAATCTCTCATTTGAAAGATGAAAATTTCTTCAGTTGTTAGTTATTTTGTATCCCAAGAAATGCTTAATATATGTAGCTGTAATACCATGTCTGCTTTACATCAACTTCTCTGTGATTCAAGAGAGAAAGTTTAAACAGTTCAAGATTGAAACCCTACTTATTTGTCTGCCATGAGATTCAGTATTCCCCTACAGGGCAATGCTGTTATTACAAAGTCAGCTTGAATAAGCAGACAATTATCTACTTTATGAAACTATTTGTGAGTTGATAAATCTCTTCCTCTCATTTACGTTTCAGGAAATGAATCACGTACTTCTATTCACATTTAGTTCATCAGCCTTCTTATTTTCACGCCTGCCACTTCTGTTTTCTGCTTACTTGTTTTTTAGTCCCTGTCCTGTGAAACATTTATGAATGCTGCCTTTTGTAAGTCTTCTGGCAAGTCAGAAACAAATACAGTATTTTGGAAAAGCTCATCTAATCTGTAGAAGGAAAAATTATTTTCAAAATAATTCTTTATAACTGAGAAAACTGAGATATACGATTTGTGATCTTTATCATGATCATCCAATTAATAATCATGCTACAAAGTAATTTGGAACCTTAGTAGAAAAAGAATCAAATGATACTGTGTATGTGAATTAGGTTTGTGCAAATTTAGAACACAAGTTTTTTGCTTTGTATTGCTGTTTTGGTCAGTTCATTTCACTGACTAAAGTGATTTTCAAATAGATTGTAAACATCAGTCTGATTAAAATGTATAAGCAAGCAGAATGTACATTATGAATTTTAGATCTTGCTTTTACAAATACATTTACTTACCTATAGTGCATTTTTTAATGCAGCCGTGTATCTGGACCTTTTAAATATCTTGCTGACTAATCATGTATGTGTGTATATGCACACACACACATAGACCCAGGTAATGCATCATAGATAAATAGGGACAAAAGTGGTCCTAACTGGTCAGTTCTATTTCCTTACTGCTCCAGCTGTATTTATTCCCAGAAGGTGTTTGTCTAACATTATGTATTTCCAAGGGAAGTGCTCTTAGATCTTACTCAAGCACTCCAATGCTTCATTAACCTCGCAAGTAGAGGATTTTCTAAATCAAATGTGAACATTTGTTGCTCTACTTATACAACTCCTTTCAATAGATGTTTCTATATAAAGGGCAGGTTTTTAATTTGTCTTTTCAATGCCTTATTGTATACTTCAAGAATACCTGATCTACTTCAAACTAACCAACAGCAGTTCAGTCAGGCCTTCCTCATGAGTTGTATACATGTAGACCTCCAGCATTTATCATCATTTTCTCAATGGATCCCTGAGGAACCTTCCTCTCACCTCCATATTCTCTCCTTGTTTTCAGGCTTCTGGTGTGTCTTTGAACAGAGTTTTCACCAGAATATAACTTCTTGGAGGGGTAGAAGTGGTGCAGGTTGGGTGGCAAAAGTGACATTCTTTCTGGAGGCTAATGTGAGGGAAGGAACAAACCTTCATCCAGCAGTAGCTGAATCTTCCCCTGCTCAGTATTGATCAAATAAACATGCTTTGTGAAAGTGCAATGCAACAAGAGTAATTTCACATATCTAAGTGTGATTTTTTTTTACTCAATTAAGCAATATGGTCTTTCAGAATACAGTGGAAGCAATAATTCTTTACCTATGCAATTTCTTTGTGATATCATAATAATCACTGGACATATCACTGGGATAAAGTGAGGTTGCTCGTCAGTTCTACATCTTCATACAGGTAAAGTTAACCAGTAAAACATTCAGCAAAGACCTGAATATCAAGGAACCATCCATAAAAGTGTTACTGACTTCAGCAGACCAGGAATTTAGTACCTTAAAAGTCTCATTTGCAAGCAGAAAGGATATCCTTTGTATTATTTGTGACACAAGGTGCAACCTACAGTAAATAAGAATGTGTTTGTTTTTATTTAAGATATGCTATTGTAAATAACTATACAGACTTTGATTTATAAATAAATGTCCTCTGTAGTCTGTAGGAATAGTTAACACTGTTTTGTGTAAGTCTAACTTCTACAAGTTTCCTTTAAAGTTTTCAGTGCTTCAGCCATGGATTTATTGAGTTATACAGTGGTCACAGCAGAAAGAATGCTGACATGCAATACACCAATACATATGCACAAAAAAGCAAAGTGATAAAAGTGATCTTTTTGTTCTACTATCTAAACTAGTCTTTCAAGACTTTACTGAAGGTGAATAAGTTACTTCTTGAAGTTTTAAAAATAGGATAGTTTCTCTTAGTATAGCTATTCTTTTTACTGCAAATACATTTTTTAAAAATTATAAGCTTATACACAAGAGAAAGTCTATTTTATTCTGTCAGAATAAGTAAACATGAATGTTCAATTCTTTTGTAAGAGGTGGTTCTATTTTTGGTCAATGGTATTTTAATTCTTCACATCTTGATTAGAGTAAGTTAGAGACTGGTTTATGAATCTGCTACATATATTTTCTATGTGAATTAAAAGATAAACTTTCTTTTTGCAGTCAAAACTTGTGGATCCAATCTTCAGGGACCTGGAGGCACTTTCACATCACCTAATTTTCCATTTCAGTATGACAGTAATGCTCAATGTGTGTGGGTCATCACGGCTATCAATACCAATAAGGTAAGTTTAAAATTTTGTCTTTGCTTACAAAAAAAAAAAAAAAAAAAAAAAAGACAAGTAAAAGAACATGCAGACCATAACATTTTTGACTAATATGATTTATCTCTACAGTCCAGCTGCTGTACTAGGTGCATTTCAAATATTTTAAGGAAATGTCTGCTCTTAGATAAGTATGGACAGATGTTAAAACCTCTGTTTCCCTCAAGATTGTTTTGCTTTTTGTATGCCAAATAGATGCTATCATGTTTTTATGTGATTCTCTAAATGAATTCCCAGAAGCAACTACTCAACGGTATGAAGCAATGTCATGGGTCTACTAATATTTTGTTACAACCAGAAGAGTAGTTTTGTGTATAAAACTGTTTATATCATGTTTAGCCTTAGACTATGTAAGAAGTCACTGAAGTCAACTTTCTCTTCATGAGGGAAAGTTCTGAAGTTGTTTATTTCATTGTCTGAACCACTGTGTTAAAATCCCATATACTTTATGCCTCATTTTAAACCAAAAGTACTAGGAGTTTTGATAATGCCAGATGAGTCAAAGTAGAGCAATAAAGCTAAGTTATGACACAAGTTGTCTTTAATTTCAAGAACTAGGCACCTGGCAGCAATGGTTATATTCTATTTCCAGGTGTATCATTTTATCTGTACTGAGTGTAATGGACTTGTTTAGATGTAATAAAACATAAATTAGCTGTGCAGCTCAGAAATGTTTTATAAAGGACTATCAACATCTGTGTTTGCTGGTACAGGGATATATTCTACCTCTAATTTCTGCCTTATATTGCCATCTGCATCACAGTCCATTAACTGATCCGACAGGCCTAGAAGGCCTACCTCTTTGCACCTGAATTCGTGAGAGGACTTCGTGAAAACCTGATTACATTTAGAAACGATTTAGCTACACTGGTGTATTTCTCCCTCTAATTTTACAAAGTCCTGTGTGGAAGCCATCTTTATGTTTCACTTTGGTAGAAGATAGAAGGATATTTAAACAGTTAATTATAATTTGATAATGGAAATTATAGTCATGTTTTGGTGGGGGACGGGTGGGGAGCTATGATTGTTTGTTTAATTCTTATTCCAAGGACTGCTAATCCAATTTATCCAATTTTTAAGCCATTAAAAATGTGTCAAGAGTCTTAGAAAAATGATGCAATCTTTGTTCTACAGATGGGCAAGAAGTTCAAAAATAATAGTTAAGATCCATTTCATTCATATTTTTATTTCTTTAATGAAAAACTATTAGTAAGATGAAATCTGTGCACATCTAGAATTTCTGAAAGTTTTTTCAAATGTGACAGTAGATAGAATTTAATATCATACTGTGTGAGGAAATGAAACACAGCTATTACGCTTTAAACAAGTTTTTTAAATGGCCTGAAAACCTCTACTGAGCCGTTGACTGAAATTAAGACTCTTTTTACCATATTTTGCATAAAATGGTTTCCTTTCTTAAATGCAGCAAGAGCATATCTACATAATAAAAAAAAAAAAGATTTTAGACATTCTACCAATGATAGAGACAAAACTTTAAGCTGAAAAACAGGTATGTATTTACTGGCAAGTCACAGGTGATAGCAGATTTAAGATATTAGTGACTTGGAGATTGTTAAGGATTACACTCAGATGAAGATATTCATGTGTTAATGCTGTCTTCCTCCTCTGTCCCTGCCAGTTCACAAGATGGTTATGCAATGTTATCTTCAAAACCTCCTAATTTTGTTTTGATCAAAAATATTCTTTGCAGGAGTATTCAAAACCATTATTCCTCAGTATTATTTTCCCTACAAATGTGCAGTTTCTGCTTTTAAGAAACTTTGAATTTAAATCTGATTACAGAAAATTAATTGAACAAATGGTTCTGGTTGTTGGTGTGGTTCACAGAGCTACAGAATGATTAAGGTTGGAAGGAACCTCTGAAGATCCTGTAGTTGAACTCCCCTGCTCAAGCAGGGCCATCTACTTGTGCTTGGGAGGTGCAGTTGTTTTCCTTTCTCTCAAAACACAAGATCAAGTTTAAAAATTCCAATTCTAATGAAAACAATATAAACCCTCTCTTTGTTCATAGATTGTACCTGTAATAGGTCAAATAAAATGTATTTAAGTTTTTTTGTATTGATTTTTTCCCCTGAAACTGTAAATCCTGCAAAATAGCAAATGAGCACAGCATGAAAACTGTTCCAGAACCTGACTGATAACAATGTATATGTATACACCCAGTTTTAATATTTGGGGATGAACCAGAATTCATAGGTTGAATCTCTGCACTGGTTCAGAAAAACATTTCAATGCACTCGTGCTTCAGTTTTTACAGGGTAAGGTTTTGGTAGCAGGGATAGCTGCAGGGGTGACTTCTCTCAGAAGAGATCAGGAGTTGTCCCCATATCGGACAGGGATGGTCCTAGTCAGGTCCAAAACAGACCCACTACAGGTCAAAGCAGAGCAAATCAGGCAAGATGGTGGCACCTCTGTGGTAACTTATTTAAGAAAGTGTAAAAAATGCTGCACAACAGCAGCTAAAGGAGACAAGTAAGAACATCTGAGAGAAACAAGACCACAGACACCAAGGTCAGAGCAGAAGGAGTGCAAGGAGGTGCTCCAGACACCAGAGCAGAGATTCCCCTACAGCCTGTGGAGAGGACCATTGATGCAGGTTGTACCTACATCTCGTAGAGGTCCCTGGTGGAACAGAGATCCATCTGCAGCCTGTGCAGAACCATGTCAAAGCAGGTGGATATGCCTAAAGGAACCTGTGACCCCACGGAGACCCCTTGGGGTAGCAGGTTTCTGGCAGGACCCATGACACCATGGGGGCCCATACTAGAAGAGTTCTTGAAGAACTACAGCCTGTGCAACCTCACGTTGGAGAAGGGTGTGAAGAACTATTTCCTGTGGGAGAACTGAAACTGGAGCAGGGAAAGAGCATGAGGTGGAAGGATCAGCACAAAGTGTTACAAACTGACTGCAACTCCCATTCCCTGTTCCTCTGTGCCACTCTGGGGAAGAGTAGGAGGCAGAAGAGTCAGGAACAAAGAGTGAATTTGAACCTGGGAAGAAGGGGAGTGGAAAAATAGTGGGTTAAGTTTTGTTCTTGTTGGTCACTTTCCTACTCTATTTTTAATTGTCAGGAAATTAAATTAATTTTCCCCAGATCAAGTTTGTTTTGCCCATGACAGTAATTCGTGAGCAATCTCCCTGTCCTTATCTTGACCCATGGGCTTTTTCATTCAATTTTCTCATCCTGTCCTGCTGAGGGGTATTAATGGAGTGACTTGGTGAGTACCTGACAGACAGTCAAAGCTAAATGCATATTTATCTGTCTCCTTTGTATTTAAATATTTTGAAAGTGTTGAAGATATAGTAAAAGAGAGAAAACAATAGTTAAGAACAAGTCACTTATTTAAAATTAAATATGAACTTTTAGATAAGGCTATAATCAAGAATACCTGTTTGTTGATGGTACATTAGAGAGTTATGCCAGTAATAAGAATGCAAAGGAGTAATGTTAGGTAAAGCAAGTAGTTTTATTTCAAAGCATGAGAGTTGGACATTGTTTCTACACTTCTATGATGTACCACTGAAATTACTGGACTCTGAGAAGTGTTAGGTTCATCACGAGCGCATTATAGTGCAAGGAACTGTATCATAATTGCTTCAGCATTACACAGAAAATACTGTTCTTTGCATGGTATTAGTTGGACATAATTAAAACTCTTTAATATTGCAATGAAATGCAGATACACAGGTAATTATGGGGTTTCTAAACTAAGGAATAGATAAAACGTTTACAGTGTTATCTGGAACAACATTCAGATATGTTTATAGTTTTCAGAAAAGGTGTCTAACACTGATTAGAAGAACATAAACTTGTTGAGGTTAGAAGAAAATGAGATCTTTTACAAGTTAGATTTTTTTTTTATCATATATTGAGGAATTTGCATGTATAAAGTCTTTGCTTATATCAGTGCTTTAATGTGTTCAGTTTTTATTCATGCTAACATTACCTTACTGTTCTGAGCACAATACTGCTGCTTTGCATGACTGCTAAAAGGTATAACTTGATTTTTACCTTGAAGTCAAAAACCTCATTGATGTATAAATGAGGATTTGCCATTAAGAATTTTTTATAATGGCAACAACAAATAATATGATTGTATTCATTATAACATGACAATATTTACAATATTTTGTACCACAGCTGTGAGAACCATGAGAACTTATTGATCCTGATACTTCAGAGCTTCTACTTATTGCATCATTTGCAACAAAATAGCTCAGAAATTGAGAATCTTTTAAGGCAGAAAACAACAGATGAAAGATCCTGAAAGGATCTTTAACTCTGGTGTCAATGACCTAGTTCCAGGACTAATTCTAGCTAATTTTCTTCCCTAACTGATTTCAGAAATTAGTTTGATAACAGCACAATATAGATGAAAGAAATGTTTTCCCAAGAATTTGTCTGCTTTTTTAGCTTTGTACTGCATTATAGTTGATCTCTTGCCTCATACGTTAATCAGACATACTGTTCATGCCCAAGCCTTGTTGACAGTAGAGCCATGATTAAATATCTCAAACATGGCCAGAGATGATAGTGAGTTCACTATTGAAAAATAGAATAAAAATTACTTGTGAAAGGAAGGTCATATGGATGGGAGTCAATAGAAAAGGTGCACCAATACATCTGATGATATCAGTGAATTCAACATATGTTCATTGTTCTCGTGCATGTTTTTTTACATTCTTATTCTTATATCAGGATCCTGTTCTTTGGAGTTCATCTATTCAAGAGAAAAAAACCCTTTTTCAATAATTAATATTATAATTAAAAATAAATCTATGATACACCAAAGCTCTGAATTCAATGGAAAAAGAAATATGGGCAATCATAACTTTGTACATAACTTTGTAACAGTGAAATATCTATCATTGCCTGCATGGTATCACAGCCAATAGACTCTTTAAACCTCCTTGATAGTTTGTACCTTGCTTAGGCGATA